ATATTTAAATCTTGCTTACCATTTGGCACTTTATTGTCTTTATTTAAATTTGCATTTTGCGCGGTATTTGTTTCTGAGTTCGTATTTACGGTATTTATAACTACACTTACACTTGCACTACACTCGGCCATCTTTCACTTAAACTTCCGTATTTGGCAACAGTTCGGCTATTTTGAATCTAGTTGTCAGTGACTTGAGGCAGGGGTCAGCACATACTTGATCTTAGTAAAGAAATCTTCCAAGATTCTTAAGAGTATTGGCACAAAGTGAAAAAATGGATACTATTGTTTTATTTTTTTTTATTGGTATCGACTATGACATTGATTCATATTGTACTGTAACAATTTCTCTTTGGCATATCAGTTTGTATCAAATATTTATTTTGGTACCAACCACAATTATAAAATAAACACTTTATTTGATGTTTCCGATTAAAGAACATTTGTGTAGAAGCAAATGCAGGCGATGGACGGATGCAGTGACACAGAAGTAGACTTAAATGTGAAATACTTAAAAACAGATTAAAATAGAAATCACATTCGTTGTGATAAACCTTTCAAGACCCAGATAACTGCACCATTTTACATGTAACAAAAAGTTGAAATCAAGATCAGATGAATGAAACTGTCTTGATTTTTTCTTACTTAGCGATATTCCGGGACTCATTCTTATTTTAGATTCTTGGAGCCTATTCAAGATGTGGGACATCTATGTTTGTTGACTGACGAGGTAAGATGGCTGAGGATTTTGAAACGATAGCTAGCGGACTTATTCCTGGCTATTGATTTATTGACAACTTGATTTGGCATTAAGCGTAATTGAATACAGCTAAAAGGCTGTATAGGTCTTTTCTCACCTCACGTCAAAGAATGACGAACCATCTGACTACAAAAGAGTTCTAAGAGATGGGGAATGAAAGATCAAAAAGTCACTTGTGTAAAAAAATTGGTAAAGGTAAGGTTGCAATTAACCGAGGAGTAAGACAAGGAGACACAATATCTCCAAAATTATTTACAGCTGCTCTAGAAGATATCCTTAAGTCAATAGACTGGGAAAATAGGGAATCCCTATTAACGGAAGATACTTGAACCATCTTAGATATGCAGATGATGTACTAATAGCCGACACGTTGAATGCACTGAATACGATAATTGAGGAGCTACACACAGAATCCCTAAAAAAAGGACTGAAAATGAATTTCAGCAAAACTAAACTAATGTCAAACAAAGATGACAAACCTATGATAAACATCGAAGGGACAGAGATAGAACACGTAGATGAATATACATATCTGGGTCAAAATGTCAAAGGTAAGCAAGGAAATCAGACTACCGAAATAAGCAGACGTGTAAAATACGAAGATATATTTGGAGTCAATAGTTTGATTTTGACCAATACCTCTGCTTTGGAACGAATCATCCTTGACCGGATTATGAATATTGTGAAACCCCTTCTGACCCGACAATAAGCCGTTTTACCTTACACAACATATCAGAGACGACTTCGAAAGAACGAAGGCAACAGGTGACGCTTTTGTTGACTTGACACCGTCCATCAAAAATCCTCCTAAAAAATATGTATATCATCACAAAAGATTTCTTATTCACACAGATAATATCAACTTTTCTTCAGAACCACATATATTTTGAGATGATCTCTAACATTTAAGAAGCATTGTAAAAAAATGAAGGTAGTTGCAAGAAACAACATTATAGGGAAGTTAACTGAAACTTCCTAGGGAACAGACCCACAAATCTTGACGACTACAGCCCTGGCTTTGTGCTACTTTGCTTATTAATATGCCAGTTCCATAAGGCATAGATCCGTACATTCAAGACAAACGGATATGTCCCTGACTAAAATATGCAGGAACATAACTGAATGCTCGTGACCAACACTTATGGACAAGGATCATATCCTAGCCACTCCTAGCTGAATCCCCCCTCCACCAGGAGGGATGCGGCTGCCAAACAATGCAGCCTATTTATGATCCAAATTGTTTATTGTTGTAATAAAACTTCTAGTATCTGTTTTAGTTTATTTTACGTTACTATTGCCTATTACCTGTTATGTAGTTTTAGTATATGTTTATTACTGTATTTACTATTGCTAAGGTACTTTTGACACGAATAAATAATTTATATATTTATATTTTCTTAAAAATCATTTATTATCATTCTTGGATTATAAATTTACAATTAAATTAACGACAGATTTCCAATTTCTTGTACGAATCATCTTAAAGGTAATCGCCGATTTAATTCTTAAATCAATTTCCTTTCACTTTTTGTTGTTTGTCCTTTATCAAACGAGTTTCCGAGTTTTTAAATGTTAATACACCCAGTTTTAATAATACTACATACCTATGTATTTACAATGTAACTACCAATTGAAACAGCAAATATTTCTAGAAAATATACTATTAACTAGTACAATAGTTATTAGTATTGGTTATTTTCCTGGTTTCAAATGATGTTAGACTTTATCAACAAACGCTCTTAATAATGGAAACTAATTGTTTTGCTAATTCTATTGGAAGGAATGTTTCCTTTTAATTTCAATTGTGAATTAGGCATATAATGACCCTAACACTGGATAAGATATCAATAGCCGGGTTCTGCTAGCTCTTAAATTATGTCTCCTTAAGCTTGAACCCCCTTTATACATTCTGATAAATAAGCCGCTTTACTTGGTTGTTTTCTTATATTCTTCTTTCTTGTATGTAGGGGTAAAGGGAGAATAGTGGCAGCCTATGCATTTTGGTTTATTTATCTTGCTACATAGCTTTAAAAAGTATACTGTTAACGTAAATAAAACTTCAAACCTTAGTACTTTAAACTCTATTTACGAAAAATGTTTAAACGACAAAAAAACGGATTTTCAGACTTCTGCTGGTGGCCATATTTAACCGCTGCCGAGAGGTAAAAGTGCCACTGCCACTATTACTCCCATTTAAAAAATAATTAAATGCAGAAATCGCAAATGTAAATTTTGCCTTCGAAACTGGTAGTCTTTGTGTGCCTATTGGCCGCAAATGCTGCATTGAATCCAGAGTTCTCTGTTTTTACCGAATTTGCCACAAATTGTGCAAATATCTTCGTTGACGTCCCTACCACGTTCATCATCCTCATTTTCAGATGATATACCTTCTGTGTTCTTATACAATTTCTTTTTGGAACTATTCGCGTAGGACTGGAATCTTCGATGCCTATTTTTAGTTTGGTTCCTTTGCTGGCTTTATTTCTCATTTCCTCTTCCTTCTTCCGCTGTTTTTCTTCTAGAAGTAACTTCATTGATGTTAATGTCTTTATTTTGGAATGTTGCTTTTGTGGTTGAATCTTTTATTTCGAACTGAGTCATCTCTTGAGCATCCTGGCAGTGGAATTATGTCAACAACTTCAAACTTTTTGACATGTGTCAACCTTTCTTTATTCCCCTTAACTTTCTTATTATTCTGTTCCTTATCTAATCCACTTTTTCCTCTTGGTCTAGTGTCTTTTTATCTTTTTCTTGTATGAATGATTCACCTGGAGCAAAGTCTTCATCAGTAAAATTTTCAGGAGTATGTGGAAATCTTCCTGTATTCTCAAAACCTTTAATGGCTTTGACTGATGTGGCTACGCGACCGTATGAATTTTTAAATATTTCAGCTATTTTAAATGTTGTGATACTCTCATGAGGATACCACATTCAATGTTATATGCTGATTTTAACAATGAGTAAAAAGCTACATCCAGCGGTTGGAGTCGGGGTGTAGTTAACATAATAATTCCTCGTTCTTTACAGAAATTATATGTCTCTAATTTGTGGCTACTGTTATTGTTGACGATTAACAAAACTGAATCCTCATTTGAAGGTTTTACAACACAGCATGTAAAAATGCTGGGGCCATTTGAGAAATGAACTTTGAACAATTAAAGGCAAATATCAAGCACAATTTTAATAATCAAACCTTGTCTAAGTACTTTCGCTTTCTATAACATCATCAGGGGCATTTAGTCAAATTTGGGCTATCCAGCAAGCGCAGAATGTAATAAACATGAAATTGTACATAACACTACACTAAAACAAGGACAACCAGTTTAAATATTTTACACTCTACATTCTTCTTGGCAACAGGAGAATGGTCCTCTCCTTGAAATTGACCATTCTTGCTATGAGGTTTTATGTTAGCTGGATACGAGAACACTTTTTAAACTCTTGTTATAACTGGTAATACTGCAGATGATTTGCTTATTGTACATTTTCCATTAGTATATTATTCTAGCTCAGGTTTGTAATGTTAACAATTTACATAACTGCAACCTATGGCTTTACACGCTCTTAGAAGCAAGGTGGCTGATTACCCGAATTAGAAATTGCAACATTTACCTTAAAGTACAAAAAAGTTACAGCATCAAGCCACTGAGCTACAGCTATCACCCTTACAAAAACTCTTGGAATATCAGTAACAAATTAAAGGCCTGTGGGATGTTCATGGTGAATTTATCTATAATAGATTTGCTGAAGTATAGAGGAATTTGATATCTAATGAAAGATGTAGAATAAGTTAATTAACTGCAGTATGATTAGTGTAGAATAGAGAGCTTTTGGAGAAAACAATTAGGTTTTCGTTATAATTAAAATTTTGAAACAATACAATCTAATCACAAACTCAAAATTATCCACAGCACAATTGCTATGTAAAACAGGGATATAAAAGCTGACAGACCAAGATTGTTACTGTTAGGGAGAGCACCCACTAAACTGGAGTGGCAAGTAGCACAAGTCTAGCATGTTACTTAAAATGTATTCAGTGCACACCAAAATGATGTCATTCATTCTAATCATTTGTTTGCATTGGTTACATTTTAAATAACATGCTAAATGCATGCTACTTGCCATGCCAGTTTGGTGGGTGCTCTCCCTTAAAGCTAATCATTTAAATGCTAATGATAATAGCAATAACTTAATCTAAAATTTGTATTATGAATATGATTAAAAATAAGAACAATAATTATAAAACTTATAAATAATTGTTTATTTAATGAATAAAGTTAATATACACATTCAATATATTTTCTTCACCCATAGTCACAAACATTGGAATTAGAAGTTCCTGAAACAAAGAAAGGGATTACAATTTTATCAATAAAAGAACCAATAGAGAAAAAATACAAATAAAGAAACAAACAATGTATTATCAATTCTAAAAAGTCCATGTAGGTAATGTAAAATCCTGATCTAAATATATGAAGATTTCTGAGATGAAATTTTTAATAAATTAACTAAAACAACATTCTTAAATGTACAGAATTTTTTTTTTCAAAATTAAGTAGTATTCCATCATATAAAAGGTTAATATTTTAGTAGACAAGAGGTAGTACATTGAGTGTATACTGCATTCCTACTGGGATTAGATAATTATTATAGTATGTATAAGGTAGGGTGTCTCAAAATTGACGCCCATCCTTTCTGAATATTTCCTTAGTTACTGAGTAATTGCTAAAAAAAAAACAAAAAGTCTTGAATTTAATCTTTAACTAATAAAGACGAAAAAATTTTCTAAAATAAGAAATTAGTCATGAAGTTATTTAAACAAACCACCTCCTACATGTAAGATTTATCATTGAATCACAAACCCTCTGCAGCATATTCTTGTCGATAATTGTCACAACAGGACGAATTCAACATCTTATTTAGTACATCTTGTGGACTCTCAAAAGGTTCAAAATAAATCTTTATAAGAATTACCAGCAGAAAAAATCTAAATGGTTAAAATTTTAATCTAAATCTTATTAAAACAATGTTGATATTTTAAAACACATCAGATTATAATGCAGTCAAATGTTTTTATATACACTATGTTTATAGTCCAATTTTCGTACGATATCTCTGTTTTATTGATACAGTGGTACATGCATTATAGATCTACTTCCCATAAATGACCAAGATTGAAACTCACAGCAGAAAACTTACTTTGCTAAGATTCCATCTTTCTTTGTTAACCTAACAATGCAGTCATCTGATTCACCCATTCTCCTAATAGCACCACACAATGCGTAGCTTTTAGAGCTTTCGGTCATTCTGCCGGTTTGGGGATCTACATCAGCAATGCTAAGTTGGATGGAGGCATGATCTTTGGCGTGGATAATTCTGTTGCTGGCGGAGCTGAAACACAAAAATAAATTTAGGTTTTATAGAAATACATAGGTATCAAATAGTTAGTGTTTCAACTTGTTATTTTTTGATAAAGTAAGTAGGTTAAAATAATGTAAATCAAATGAAAACACGTGTACACATAACCTTACCATTTCCTTGGGCAGTACAAGTCAACGGTTTCACCTGCGTCGTTTTCCATCTTTTATAACTAAAAAAAGAAATATCACAAGTATAAATAAATATAATTTATGGCTCTGTTACAATTATATCTGTTGTTAAACTTACTTTTCTTTTATTATAAATTCTAGAAAATGGATTCGTTCGCGAACGTCAAAAGAAAGAAACTTTCAGTGTTGCCAATCATCGTCCTAGTTATAAAAAGTGAATTTTTGATACGCTCGCAATCATTACGTCATTCTGTAAGAAAAAAAGAATTAATTTATATAACGATTATAGTAGATATATTACAGTAGCACATAAGTATTAACATTTTGGTACTTTATTATAAAAATAACATTTATTTATTTATTATTAATTCAAATTTTGATATAAAGGTTAAAATAAAGTATATAATAAATATGCAAATATGGCATCGATGTCAACGTCAAATACTTTATCTTATTGTGACATCTATCAGCGGTTAGTTTAAGCTTAGTCAATAATTTATGATAGATGGTAGCCATTTAAAGTCCACATTAAATGAATTTTATAATTTTTCGATAATAACACGCAAGCGCAAAAGATGTTCAAAATACGCGCGACGGAGACTTTCAGTTCAGTGGTTCAATACACACGATGAATTTTCACATTCACTACTCAATTTTGTACCACTACTACTACGCGAAATACTATCCTCATTCACCAGTTTACGTGGTATAACATAAAATTGCATTATTCCTTAATGTTCTCACAGAGAGTTAAGTCTTGCATAAGAAAGAGAGAAATTAGTGGAACGAGACTCGAATGAATTGTGTTATTTCGTGTGTTTCTAAACAATACGCGAATCTCAAGATATGTTCTGAAGATATTATAACTGGGTCAGGATATTTTTAAGAAATATGTCACTAAAGGTTAGTTTTTGTATTTTTAGATATAAGTATTCTTATATTTTGGTTTTAACTTGCTTTGATGTATTATTAATCGCCACTGAGAGATCGTTGGATGAGCGAGTGGTTATCACGGTTTGTTTACATATTTAAATAGAAAATTTGAGTGAAATTTTTATATATTGGTCAAATATTATATTATTTTTGTACATAATTAAATCATAACATCTATTTACAAAATACGTATTTCATTGGTAAATAATTAAAGGACTGTTATCATTTAACATTGCGAAAATCCCGTCCAGTGTCCCGCAGAAAAATTGCTGGTCCCGCGTGCATTATTATATGTAATGATTAGACAGGCAAATATGCAAAAAAGTGAAAAATATGCGCATAAATATGCACTAATTTACATAAAAAAATATACATACTGTAAATGGAAACGTTTAATAATGGTATATTAATTATTGTTTATTTTAATAATTAGAAAACAATAGGTACAAATAAATTTAAAAATTAAGTAGCTAATAATGTAGTGTTGTAAGTAATTAATTGTAATTAAACTAGTAAAAAGTAAAATACTTACTATTACCTAGAATTATAGAAACAATAAGTAAATGACCAAATGTTTTCAAAAATTTTCCAAAAAACTTATGGCTTGTATCTGTGTAGGGGAGACAGGGATTAGTTGTTACAATTTTATTTTTTTGTGCATTCAATATGTAAAATAGGCACCTCATAAAAATTGGAGTAAGAAGCACTCACTTCGATATAATTATTATAAATATTAGAACATCCAATGATTGATATCGTCAGTGTTACCATTAAAATCGTAGAGTTATGTTACACTTAAATTAAATCTATGAAGATAGGCTTTCACAGTAGCGTGAATAACAAGGCATCTAACAAACATTGAATATACTCTTCTGTTGGGATGACTTTTTGCATCAAAAGGTGCAGTAGGTAAAACGGGGAGAATTTTTGTATTTTTTTCTGTTACAGAAAGCGTTCCATTCAATTTTCCAGTTTTCTTTTAATTCTTGTTTATGCAGCGAGACTACATCATTTTTACTGAGCCAACTAATTTCTAATCCTTTTGAAGTTGCTTCTTTAGCAAAATAATCTGCTCTGGTGTTACCCGGGATACCAGCATGTCCCTTACCCAAATGAAAGAGACTGAATTATTTCTTTTAAGTAGCTTCAGTTGATTTTTTTTTAATCTTGCCGATAACACTGTTTTTACTGATAAGACTGTTTTTCTATAAATGCTTATGTGAATTATCTAAAGCAGACAACGCAGATTTTGAATCCCACAGGATTACTATTTGTTGATCCGACATTTTTTTCGCAATAGACTATTCCAGAGCTTGATATATTGCAAACAGTTCTGCGGAATAAATGGAACATTGTTGGTTTAATTTAAACATAATGTGTTCTTGATTGTTTTGGATATATACCGCACAACAGGATTAAACAGTTATTAATATGTTCTTCCCATGTTAATTTAGTATCAAGTGTAACGCCTAGATAAGTATAATGTTTTTGGACAGGTATACTTAGATTATCAATTCTAATACCTACTGGATATATTCGGTAAGCGATGACGAATAAACAACACCACAGCGGATTTATTCGAAGTCAGTTCCAACCCTTGGTTAAGAAAGTATTCTTTTGCACTGTACATAATTCGTTTTGTTAAATCAATACATTCCTGATAAGAATTTTTAGAAGTGGAAAGACAGAAATTATCGGCGTATTATAAAATATTACAATTAATACCCATACCCTGTAGATCACTAGTATATATAAAATAAACAAGAGAGGGCTAAGCACAGATCCCTGCGGCAAACCTTATGTGAACTATATGTGTTAGTTTCTTGAACAGTAAGTTTAATAGTATATAGAGTTGTAAGAAGCTGATTCATCATCATCACAGTCATTAACATCTTAGTAGATGTGTTGTGGTTCATAATTGGGCTTCAGCAGCTCGGACAGTTTGATTGATAATATTTCTCCACTGGTCGCGGTCATCAGTTATATGTATTGCCTCAGTATACTGTTTATTGAGAAGCTTTTTAGTAATGTCCGCCCATCGCTGTGGAGATCTTCCGCGTTGGCGTTGAGTCTGAGGCCTTCCTTGGACCACCAACCGCTCTATTTTGTGATCACTTCGATGGATATGGCCAAAGAACTTTAAAATTCTAGAGTAAACGGTACTGGAGAGACGCTGATCCGGTTTAATTTCATCCAGAACCGAGATATTTGTACGGCAAGCCGTCCATGGAATTCGAAGCAGGCGTCTCCATGTCCACATTTCAAAGGCGTCGTCGATCTGATTCTTTGACTGTCCATGTCTCGCATGCATAGTAAAATATGGAAAAGACCAGAGTTGAAACGAGTCTCTTTTTGTTTGTCATAGTAATGTGACGATCACGCCAGACCCCGTTTAGTTCACTCATTGCTGCTCTTGCTAGTTGAATGCGTCTTCTAATTTCGGATTCACAACTGCCTGTGTTGTTAACTAGAGCTCCAAGATATATCATAGATGAGACTACCTCGCATCCCGCAATAGTTTAGGTTTCAGGAAACTGTTGTTGGCGATCAATAACCATGATTTTGGTTTTGTTGTAGAAGAAGCTGATTACATGCGAGTAATAAAATTGCAGTAATTTTACAAGCATGTAATATGTTTAAAACTCAAGTTGTGTACTATACTTTTTCTACGATTATTTTCATTTATAAAAATAAAAAGCATAACAAGTAACTTTTATTTATTTAACAAAATTCGGAAACAATTTAAATTAAACATTTATTTATAATAATTAATTGTAAAATTTTGGCAATTATTTAACTATACCCTTATCCGAGTTTGGCGGTTGTTCAATAATACGTGGTGGATGGTGAGATGATGTAAACTGTACGGTGTGTTTTCTTTGAACATTTGTATTTTCACTGTATGTAAAGATTTGTAAATTACCTTCAATTGAATGTATAATTTTATTGGCTGTTGATGTCTTATTATTATTGACTTATCGACATATTCTTCGGCCGTTGTTTTGACACTTTGGATCATACTTTGTTGCTAATAAAACTTGAGGGGATTGGTATTCGTGGTATAGTTCTAAAATGGTTTACTTCCTACCTAGAGAATAGAAGACAAAAAGTAAAGATAACATCTAATGGACTTGTAAACGAATCAAACACATTGGATATTCATTATGGTATCCCTCAGGGTAGTGTATTGGGTCCTCTACTTTTTATATTATTTATTAATGATATAACTTTGGTAACTAATTCACTGACTGGGGTTAACATTATCAGTTATGCGGATGATACCAACATTCTAGTCACAGGAACGTCTGATCAAAATTTGCAAAATAAAACTTCACAGATACTATCCACCATCAAAAGTTATTTCTTATCCAACAAATTAGTTTTGAATGAAGAGAAATCAAAGTATATGATTTTCACGTCAAATGATTTATTAAACCATCGAGCCACTATAGAAGCAGCAATAGATAAAACATACTGCACGAAGTTGCTGGGGGTACTTCTAGACAGTAATTGTAAATGGTCAAACCACATTTCTAATTTGAAATCCAGATTAAGTAGCGCATGTTATGCATTAAGAATTATTTCACATTTCTTTCATACATCAATATTAAAAACAGTATACTTTGCCCATTTTTACTCAATAGCCAAATATGGCATTGAAGTCTGGGGTTGTACCTCTGAATTAGAGCAGATATTCGTACTTCAGAAAAGAGCTATTAGGATAATGTATAAAATGAAATTTAGAGATTCTTGTAGAGGCATTTTTAGACAAAACAATATTCTGACAATTCCTGGTCTGTATATATTTTCGTGTATAATGTATTTGCATAGAAAAATTTATGAATTTAATAAATTTCAATTTAACCATGTTTATTCAACAAAATTCAGAGACAATCACTTTATGCTTCCACAACATCGTTCTGTTTTGTTGGAAGGTAGCACACATTATGCAGCCATAAGTTTCTTTAACAAATTACCAATAGATATACTAATGAATTTACATCAGCCAAACTTTCTGAGGTGTGTACATCAATACATTTGTGAGCTAGAGCCATATTCTAAAAATAATTTTTAAGTATGTTTTATCGTGTTTAATTAATTTATATAATTTTAAGATTTATGTCTGTATTTTTGACTTGTCTCATACATGTACTTTGTATAATGTCGCATATGATCAATAAATTTGACTTGACTTGACTTGACTTGAAGATTTCCATCCACCATGTCGTTTAAGAGCCATTC